GAGTTGCTGGGATACGTGGCCATGGGGGCTGTTCCTGCTTTGGTCATTCTCTCTATGGTAAGTCTACATCACATAGATGAGTCTTTCTCAGCGTCTGCCACTCCCCTTCCCCCCTTCAGACTTCCTTCCACTACCGTTACTATTTAAAGAACCAAACTGCGGCTTTTGTTTGAGTGCCCCATAACCCACAGATGCGTCTAATTGCTGGTAATAGAACTGCTGACTATTTTCCAATGCATAAGTCTTACATTGACTTCCCCTGTTGCACTGAATCACTGTTTTCCATTTGATTACGCTCTTCAACTTGAAATCAAGAGCGTAAAAATTGTCACTTTCTCTTGGGTAAGACAGTCAACACCAATGAAGTAGCTGCCACGTTCATTTATAGCCCGAGCCGTTATGGAGTGATTTTTTTTCATGTCCCCCTGAAGATAAAGGTAGTAACGTAGCTCATTCCCTGGCTTCATAAATCACGCTGTGTTTTAGTTTCATGTCTGAGAAATTGTATTTCTTGACATCTCTTTTATTAAAGGGAAAAGCTGGCATAAATCTTATAGTCATATTTTATAAAAAGGCCTTAAACAATGTGCTCAGAACCTGAATTTGATTCCTTTGGGTTTCTTTTTACCCACATAGAGCTCCAGGCCCTTATTTTTCGTAGCACTCCATAGTTATGGTGCAATTTTCTAATGTCTATTTGAAAATTCATGCTCCAGATTTCAGTGCATAAAAACACATGAAGGACAGAAGAAACAGAAATCATTTAGGCCAGGCAGGGCATGACTTGATATACAGTATACTCCCAAAGGTATTCACTCACCCATGCAAATCACTGAATTTAGGTTTTCTAATCACTTTCATGGTCACAGGTGTATAAACCCTGGCATCTAGGCATGCAGACTGCTTCTAAAGATGTCAGGAAATCAGCGAATTCCAGCATGGTACTGTGATAGTCCAGCCCAGTCATGAAATTTTCTCACTACTAAATATTCCACAATCAGCTGTTAGTGGTATTATAACAAAACGACACCAACTCAGGCACAAAGCGGTAGGTCGCACAAATTCCAACATGCACCTCAAAATCACGTGTTATTACAATGTAAGGATAAGTGGTTAGGATAGTCCGTGATACAGCCTGGGCCCTTAATAAGTCAACGTAAGAAACATTGTTGGTCTGATCTTCTAAAATAACCAAAAAGTACTCATTACTCAGTATAATTTGTTGCTTCTTTCTTTTAAAGCTTTGTTATTATGCTGTACCTACAGGTAAGGAATTTTAGGTATTAGAAGTTACACTCTAACCTGTGAAAAAGTCCATGGTAAAGGTTGGAAAACTATGACTACACCACAAGTATTGGGCTGTTCGATGAAGTGCTACTCCGTCTTTTATGGAGTGGGCATATAAAACGGCATTTCTCAAAAATTTGGGAAACCTTTTTTAAAAAAAGAGTATTTCTTATTTCAGATGAATTCAACCAAAAACTGGACACATCTTTAGCAAACAAATATATAGTTTATTCACTGTAAGTTCAAATAAAGCGTCTTTAAATTAATTACCAGCAAACTTTCCTATGTTCCAGGTAGAGCGCACAGGTGTGTGTGAACTGGCCGTGGGAGGTGTCTTCTATGGAGTAGGCGTGGTCTTCTTTAAGAGCGATGGCCTTGTGCCATTCGCCCATGCGATCTGGCATCTATTTGTGGCCGTTGGAGCAGCCATTCACTACTACGCCATCTGGAGGTACCTGTATTTACCGGGGACACAGCTGCAGACGTCGAGGTGACCGGCTGCATACTGACGTTAAGCGTTTCCATGCCGACAGGCTGAATGACAAAAGTGCATTTCATGTAGTCAGGACGTTAGTGTTTTGACTACGGTAAGCTTCACTTACGAAGCTGTGCCACCTGGGACCAATTTGTACTGTGTGCTGACTATATAACATCTAGCCTCACTACACCAAATTGACGCTAATTTATAATGTCTAATTCTGCTCTTTTAGACGTAATTAGCGACACTGACACTGGTTTGTGTGCCATGTTGACTGTCTGTCGTGTTTCAGACGAGATCCGAGTGCCAGGCCTGCATTATGAAATCTTCATTCCTGCTTATCTCCGCCAGTTAGAGGAAAAGTTTCTAATTTTGGGAAATGTGTTTATTTTCTATCAGAGGTAGACGAGAAGATTGATAACAATCTATAATGTTTGTGGTAACCACAATACTGTGCACAGACATGTTCAGATCTACAGATTCTACATCGCGCCATCAGAGAGACATTTGATCACGTCAACGATCTGACCCCCCAAAGAGCCCTGATCCCAGACAGACATCATGGAATCAGTTTGGGATCACATGAACAGAAGCAACAGCTTCAGGTTATATTTCACCATGTTTCAAAC